CGTGCTAAAGGAATCTTATAGATATTAGCGAATAACAAAAAAATAAAATCCTACATAAAGTGACGTGAAGCGATTGACAATATATTTAGTAGATTAAGCCTTTATTCGATCCACGTTATTTTCAAAATATTTTTTTTATTTTCAACTACACATTTTTTAATAAAATAATATTATATGCAAATCTAAAACACTTTCTTATTTTTTAACCGCACATTTCTCATCAATCTACTATTTTCAAAATGCATTCTTAACAAAATTTGGTGCTGGATTTACCTAATACCTCCAAAGATAAGAACAAAAAAGATGTTCTAGCCCTTGCATGATCTCCATTGTTTTCAAAATACATTTTTCTCATTTTTTTCAACTACACATTTTTTAATAAAATAATATTATATGCAAATCTAAAACACTTTCTTATTTTTTAACCGCACATTTCTCATCAATCTACTATTTTCAAAATGCATTCTTAACAAAATTTGGTGCTGGAACAAGCCCTAAATTGCATAATTTAGACATAATCAAAGAAGAAGAGTGGTCGGAGGCTGCCAGAATTTGGACGCATTTGAGCTGAAAAAAGGGCAAAAAGTCGCCACTTTTTGGACTAATTTGCATTTTTAAAAAAGTTTAGGAGCGGATTGCAATTTATTCTTTATTTTTCCTTTTTATTTTATTTATATATGAGGGTATAATGGTCATTTTATGTTAAAATTGGAAAAAATGACGTTCAGTGCAAAGAATGTGAAAGGTATGGACGTTCTGCGCCAAAAAAGAAAAGTAAGAACGTTTTCCACAAAAACCTTCAATGATAGGGACATTTTGCGCCAATTACCCATAAAATAACTTTGACTTAAAATAGATGTTTCAATGTTGAATTAAATTATTATAAAATTCAATTTGCATAACTAAAGTCCTTACGTAGGTAGACCGTCCAATAAGTACTAGTAGTGTACGTTCACGAAACCTTTGCGGCGAGCTGAATCTACCGAAGATGGAGTTTGAGAAATCAAAGTTAGGTAAGAAGTAACTCTTTAATTTATGCTATATGGTAGATAATGATGGATTATGGTGACACACATCAAATCTTAACAACTAAATTTAAAATTACATGTTAATATATAGTGTAGTCAACGTAGTAAATGAAGCTCATTGGTAAATGACTATTGCAATAATTTTATAAATGAGATAGTCCCAACAAAATTCATGCATGCTTGAGAAGATTTGTACATTGTAATAAAAATCTATTTAAAAGAGCGATGAGAATCATGAGATTCAACATTTGAATACATATTAATATTATATAAATATTAGAGACGACTTAAACAACTCGGAGGCGTTAAAGGAAATTGGTGATGAGTCTTTTTTTTATAATAATAAATAATAAAATAGAAATTAATAAAGCAAATAATCACCGAAACTCCCATCGGGAATTATCTCGGACGAAAATCATATTTGTCCATGGTTCTAATGGAATTACCAAAAACAATATTGTCAATGATCACGGACGAAGATTTTGACAGTAATGAATATGTGTTGATGATCCAAACGAAATTACCAATGGTAATAACACAATGTCGTTGCTGATACACATTCATAGGAGATTATCAATGGCTATGTTCTTGATGATTTCTACAACCACCAATGGTACTTCGATCACCGATTATAGATGGGAAGTTGTTGGTATTACCCAAAAAGATTTATTCTTTATATATTCTTAAACTTTTTTTTGTGAGTTAACGGTTAAGCTCAAATATAGTCTTATTTTTTTTTCTCTCTATATTATTACTTAGATATAACTTATTTTCTTAACTATTTATATTTTCGGAATTTTTCCTTTTACTCTATTTATTGAGTAAATTTTTGTATGCAAATTAAATTTATTGTAATTTCAATGTGTTTTTATATTATTAACTGAAAAGTCGTTCGACCTAATTTTTTAAACTATTGTTTAATTTTTTATATTTTCTTACTTCATTTAGCACAATTTTTTTATTGCTACGTTAAATTTATTTTGTTAAATTATCTCTGACGAAATACTTCAATACTATATTTTAAGTTTTTATTTCGTTGAAATAGTTTTTTGTAATAATATCTTTTATTTTATTTCCTAAATTTATTTAATGACAGAATTTTTATTTACTACAAACTAAAAACATCGACGAAGATTTTGTCAATAAAATTATTTTAATTGAAAACTTTTAAATTTTGGGATCTTTATCTATATATGCGGGGCCTTAGGCAACTAAATATCTAACTAGACTAGAGATTGAGTCAACTTTAATTAATCGTCTCATTTAATTGTTTAATTGTGATAGAGAAATATATTATACGTACTCATTCATGTACACACCGTTTCAATCAAATGCTTAATACGTGATGAGGTTTCATAAATGACGCTAGTGAGACTTGGTGGTGGCAATCGAACCGAACGGCTCGTCGACTCGGCCGCTCAGCTCGTACTGCAGCGACCCACGAGCCACTTTTGACGATCACGAGCCGAGCTGGCCTCTCGCTAGACGAGCCCGAGCTCGTCTCGTTAAGGAGACGAGAGCTCGTGGGTTTGTGAAAAACCATTACAAAAAAAAAAAAAAAATAAGGCGCCACGAGCCGAGTCGGCTCAACTAATGAACTCGCGAGCTCGTGGGCCGAGCCGAGCTCGCCCACGAGCAAACGAGCCACGAGCCTGCTCGGCTCGTGAGCTCGTGGCTCGTTTCTCCTCGGCTCGTGGCTTTAAGGGCCGAACCGACTTGACTCGATCCATTGACATCACCATGAGACTAGATCTAAAGTATTTTTGCTAACTATACGATATAATATTATCCATATTATATAAAAATAAAAACCCACATCATGTTATGACTTATATAATTAAAAAGGTAATTGTTAATTTTAAATAGTATCTTTAACAACTAGTGACGTTAATTTTGATCCCTACATGCATAAAACATACTCGACATCTATGGCGTGTTCGGTATAGATTAAAATTGAAAAATTAGCTATTATTGTTGACTTTTGTTAGACAAGTGAGACTCAATAACTGTTATATTTTCAATTTTAATTGGAATTTAATCTTTATCAAACGAGCACCTAAATATAAATATCATTTTTAAGTGTTTTTTTTTTTTTTTGGTAGTATTCCCACCATAAGATATGTGGTATGCAATTTTTCCACAAAGACGTTAAATTTTGTCCTACCATTGAAAGATCAACGTCAAGTTTTATTATAGTTTCTTGATATTTAAATTGGTGGGTTCCTAGCACATACATATTTTTAGTACTTGAAGAAAATACGCAACTTCTTTAGATGTTTAGCTCCATTTGACAACAATTAAAGTGAGTTTTTCGAGAGAAATGAATTTTGAAATACTGAATTTTTTAAAAAATATGTGGCTAAAAAATAGAAAAAAGTTTTAAATTTACATTTGAAATATTTTATTATGAAAATATGTGATTAAAAATGAATTTGAGAAAAGAAGGGGTTCTATTTTAATGAATCACTAAAAATAATTTGTGTTTTGAAGAATTCTTTTCAAACCAAATTAACCTAATTTCAAATTCAACAAGTGTGAATGCACAAAAAAATTTCAATAATTGAGTGATGAAAATTAATGCAATAGACAATTGTGGTCGACAATGAAAATTCGGAAAAGTGTACATATTTCCATGATCCCGTCACATCATTTTGTTTAAAAATCCTGCACGTTGAATTGTCACGACAACTATGTTTCCAATTAAAAATTTGTGATGAAAAAAGAGAGGTTCGATGGACTTATCTAATGTGCCATGGACCCACTTCAGCTTCACCACCATATTATTTTTCCCTTTTTTATTTTATATCCTCAAACTATACAACGAAAAAAGAAAATAAATATAAAAATCTTTTCGCAATTGGAGAAACTGAATGAACATCAAAAAATAGATCAAACAAAAAGTACACCACGATTCACAAGCAAATTGCTCCAATAACTTGTTGATGAGTGATGCCGAACATTAGAAACGAGCGAGACAAAAATGAAGAGACTATTCTCTTCGTATTTCAGTTTTTAATTTTGAGTTTTGAATTCATTTTGAATTTTGTGTTTTGAGTGTCTATTTTGAGATTGTTGAAAAAGCATTATTTTTGTCATTTTGAAAAATTATTTTCAAAAATAAAAAAATAAAGTTTTGGTGATTTTAACTAAAAATAGCCAAAACGACTTTTTTGGCGTTTTCCCTTTTTTTTTTTTTGTAAATTTTAAATTCGTTTTTGAAAATTCGTTTCTAAAATAGGCAAATAAACATGTTTTTATTGTTTTCGAAAACTGAAAATGACTTGAAAACAGTAAAAAGAACAAGTTAGTATTGTTCCGTTTAAAAGAGGTAGACAATAATTAAGAAAAAAATTAATTATCACATCAAATCTAGAATGTCCTAAAAATCTAGGATACTTCCAAAAAAGTTCCAAGAAAAATCCCAGATCAATACAAGAATTAAAGTTTTTACTCAAAATTCAACTAATTTTCATAATGGAAATTTCCCAGGCCATTTTTTCTCTATTGTAATCTAAACGAAATCTCAATCGTGAAACCGGTCGTCTCTTTTGTTTGACATGTCCAAACCTCTCCTAATATAAAAACCAGTATGTTTTGTAATAAACGCTTCATCTTTTCTTGACCCTATCAGCTCCCTACTGCTCGTTCAATTTCCTCCACCACTTCCACTCGTCCTCTTTCCCGCCGCCACCACCCCGTCCGTTCCCTCTTCTTTTCCCATTCTTTTCCAGCTCAAGAGGCGAAAAGGTAAGAAAGTACTACAAAATGAAACAAAAACATTTTGCATGAAATTTCAATTCGGAATAGTAGCAGAATAAGCAGAAATCATGTCCAATATACCAACCTCTCTTTCAGAAATTTGTCTCACTGTATTTCGCTTAGCCATGTCTGTAGCTGACCCTTGGCCCTTTTCTTGAAACTTCAACATCAAAAGCTCCTGTTCAAAATTCCTCCATTTTCTTGAAAAAAGACATGGGTAAGATCCGAGGTTTCTCGCTCAAACACCGGGTCACCAAACTTTTCCGGCGTGTTTTCCGACGGAGTTGCAGGTCAGCTGGATACCGTCTTCTGGATCCGTCTGAAACCTGCCCGGCCAAACGTATTTCAACGCTCATAAGCTGGACCCACAACCTCAGGACAAAAGCCAAGGCTATACTTTCCAATAATCGTGGTCCAGGCTCGGCCCCGGGCTACCTGCGAGTTGGGCAAGAACCGATACAAGAAAAGCCCGTGCCCGTTCCAAAAGGGCATGTGGCCGTGTACATGGGTCAGAAAGATGGAGATTTTCGTAGGATTTTGGTGCCCGTAGTGTATTTTAACAACCCTTTGTTTGGAGAATTATTGAGGGAGACTGAAGAAGAATACGGGTTTAATCATCCGGGTGGGATTACCATACCATGTCGGGTCTCGGAGTTTGAGCGTGTCCAGACCCGAATCAAGGCTGGTCAGTGTAACCGGCAATCGATAACATCCAGCATGTCCCACCGGCGTTTGATGGGCTAATGGATCCTTCTTCCAGTGCCATGATGATGACGATATCGCATTAGAATTTTCTCTTTTTATATAAAATTTATTGCTCCATATTATTTTTTTTTTTTCTGTTAAATATAGTGAAATTTATATGTTTGAAATTTCAAATACCATGTAAATTATTATAGGTGGATTCATTCTTATCTACTTATGCCATCTTGTTTGTTCCATTATTATTATTTTTGTTTTTTTTTGGGCAAAAACTCAAAATATAAATAATATCTCAATATATTTATCGCCACTGATGTCATTATCAACAATAATTCCAAGATTGGTGGAAAATATAATAATAACTATGCTCCTGTTTGGTGTGGGTTAAAATCAGTTTTTTAGTGAATTTTAATAAAAGTTGACTAAATATGTGGTTGAAAAAGTTATGGTATAAGAAATATGTGATTATAATTAATTGTTGATTTTGATTTAAATAAAAATAAAAATTTTAATCTTCACCAACCAAAGACTATATTAGTCGCTTGATAAAACTCCTTTCCACGATGGAATCACTTAGTGGTAACGGAAGGGTAGCTGTGCTTTGAGATGAAATGGTCGGTTGAAGATGAAAGTCGATTATGGTCGATGTGCATCAGAGCAATGTTTGTGCTACTCGATGTGTGGATGTGATGGAGTGGTGGTGTATATGGTGCTTGTTTGGTAGTGTTTATAATTTGGCAGAATTATAATTTGTGAGTCATATGAATTATTTTAATAATAGTGAAAAATTGTGGCGATGTGCGTGGCGTTTTTGACTTTTTTTCGAGCATTAGCGAGCCCAAAAAATATGCAGAAAACATAAGCCGAACGCTGAAACCAAATTTAAAGCCCAATATCCGACCCACCTTGAAAATCAAGCCCGACAAACATATTAAGAGCTTGTTTGGGGGGATAATTACATAAAACCAGTTGTTTAGTTTTAATTTTCTGAAAATCAGGTTTTAACTTTATTTATCAAAAATTAGGTTTTATCATTTTTAATTAATAATAATATTATAAAATTAAAATAATATTTGTACCCACCCCCACCAAATTTATATAAAACCTAAATCTATTCAAACCCTAACCTAATCAATTCATTTCTCTCATCTCTCCCCTGTCGCCGCCGCCGCCACTACCTCTCTAGTCTCTCCACCGTTGTCGGCGCCGCCGCCTCCTCCTCCTCCCTCTCCCTCCCCCTCCCCTTTTCCCTTCTTCTCCATCCCTCCCTTCCTAAGCCGCGACGCTGCTGNTAAAATTACGTTATAGAAATAATTTCTTATTCCGGATAAACTTAATTTGTGGTATTTCTTCGACGATTTTGTGGTGGCTAAAGTGGAGCGTGATGATGTGTTTGTGCTTTGTGTGGTTTGTATGTAAGTGTTCAGTAGCTAATGGAAGTTGGGTTTATTGTTGTTCAGCCTGCGATTAGGTATGTGTGGTTGTGGAGGTGGTGGATCTGTTGTAGTATGTTTTGGGCGGTGGTGATGGTCGTGTGGTGGAGGTTGTTTTTTTGTTATTGTTATAGCGGGGTCTGCGGTGGTGGTTTTTTTGGTGTCTGTGACCTAGCTATTGAAACTGCAGTGGTTTTTTATGATTTCTGTGACCTTGGTAGTTTTTCTGGTATCTGTGACCTTTCTGGTGTCTGTAACCTAGTTATTGAACTATGGTGGTTTTTTTCTGGTATCTGTGACCTAGGTGGTTTTTCCTGATGTCTATAACCTTTCTGGTGTCTGCGACCAAACTATTGAACTGTAGTATTGAATTTGTAACTAAAAAAGGAATCTACGACCCCACAAATTTGAAAACTGTGACCTATAAAAGAACTTTTTTGTGACCTCAAAATAATTTGTGATCAATAAATTTTATAAGTTGTGATCGAAATTAAATTTTCAACTATTTAATAAGATATTTGTGACCTTGGAATCGGAGCAATTACCGAATTTAAACGGTAGCAACAGTCACCGAAAAATGGTCGCCGGAATTTAGCGCCACCGAAGAATGGTCACCGGAGTAGTCGCTGGAGCGGTGGAGGTAGGGTAGAGTGGGGTGGGTCAATTATATTATATTATAGGTAAATATTTAATTTAATATATTAATTGCAAAATATAATTAATTAATTAATTAATTCATGGAAAACCAGAGTTTTGTAAATTTAAACCTTCGGGTCTAATTTTTTATTTCATGAAAGATAATCCATGACCTATGAATTTTTTCCCTGTTTGGGAGGGATTTTAATCCAATTAAAATTGAAAATATAGTCGTTATTGGATCTCACTCGTTTAATAAAAGTCAACAATAACGACTAATTTTTCAATTTTAATCTGATTTTAATCTCTACCAAACAAACTTTAAGTCCTTGTTTGATAGTATTTTTTGTGTAGAACGGATTTTTATATAGTAAATTTTTGGAGAATACGTGGTTAAAAACTAGAAAAAAATGAATTTACGAGAATAATATTTTATTGTGAGAATGTATGGCAAAAAATGAATATGGGACAAAAAGAAGGGGCATTATTATGATTGGCCTGGTTGACTAAACTTTTTATAAAATCGGTTTAAAAGTTTATATTACCCTTAATGATATAAGTTTTCATTTATTACAAGACATATCATTCTCTTATATATAAATTCATTCTTTGCTCCAATAAATTAGTATATTCTTCAATTTCTTGTCTTTATTAATCATTTTTTGTATATTTTAAATATTCTTTTAATTTAGAAAGATATAATCTATTATAAAATCTTAAAGTTAGATTAAATTTTAATTTTTTATATTCTTGTAGGAATTTAATAGGTATATCGTATAATAAATCGATAGTAGTTTAAATATGGTTAGTATTTCCTTTTTCTTGAATTTTATTATATAATTTCATTCTAAGTTGCAGTATGTTAGAGTAATTTTCAACATATCTCTTTAACTTTTTATGAAGTTCTTCAATTGATATGTTTATATTTTCAACATATTCTAACATTTCTTCTATCCTATCAAGTTTTTGAGAAGTAAATTTTATTTCATCTAACATTTTATCTAACAAATTATCTAATCATTTAACTGTACATCCTAGCATATCAGATAATATAATGAGATAATAATTCAAACATTATAAATGAACGTTCAAATATAAACATTGAAATGATTAATCCATACGATTCTTTAAGATATTAGAAGAATTATTTCTAAATTTAACAAAAACAATAGTTTTACCTTGATTCTGATCTTTAAGTTTTTCTCCTTAGAATCGAGTAACCTTCAGTCTCTGAATATGCAAACTGTTCCCTCAACATGGTTCTTTGCTATTTCAACTTCTGCCTTCACTGTATCGTTTCTTAGAATCAAAACTAAAAATCCTAAATAAAGAAAACTCTCTTTTTGTTAAACAAATAAATAAATTTCTTCTTCAATCATTTAAGAATCTATGGAAAATGTAGTTTAGAAACTCATATCTATTTAAGAGGATTGGAGTGTGAATGATAATATCAAAGTAGTATTGATATTGAAAGATTGGTGATAAGTGTAATTTTTACAATTATTTGAGACCTAAAATAATGAAATTTGATAATTTTTTTGATAAAATATATTCTAAATTGTTGTATTATATATTTAATAGGTAAAACTCTTTGGATGGAAAAGGAATTGAAGCAAAAGTTGGCGAAAAAGGCAAAAATCTAAAGTACAAGGACCAACTTGCATTGGATGAAAGAATTGAGGACTTGAAAGCAAGCACTAATTTAATTAGGTATTGGAATTAATTGGGGGTCAACTTGGACTTTTAGTTGTAGTAAAATATTAATGCATTAGGTTTTATATTATATATATATCTCTTTCTATATAAAAAGTGTCTATCTAACGGAATTTGTTGATTTAACGGAAAAACTAACGGAATTTCTTGGTTTAACGGAAAAACTAACGGAATTTCTTGTTTTAAACAGGCAGCTGCACATTCTTTCAGTATTTTTATCATAACTCTGTATTCCGATATCCGATTGAGACGATTCAAAATGCGTTGGAAAGCTAACTCATCTGGCTACAACTTTGATTCAGACATCATTCTCCAATTCGATCACTTTCTATGCCAAAAATAGGTCTCAATATGAGACTAAAA